CTAGACAGCTCAAGGGCACAACAGAGCAGGTGGAAGCGTCTCTGGGCCCCTGTTTGAGCACGCTTCATACAAGAGGCCGCTCGTGGGCAGTCTGCAGCACACGATGCGGCGTGGCTCGAAGAACTCCATTCGTGAATCGCTCGAGGATATCTCCCACGATCCTTGAGTTGCGGGCCGGAGGCCGTGTCGCTTAAGCTGCTTGGGCTTGGGCTGTATGGACCATGAGAAACAGCAGCCCAAACCTGCCCTGTCTGCCTGCAAGCTTCACCACAAACTCCTCTTCGCAAACTGGTGCATCTACCCAGTCGGCACCGTTCGGCGGGAGGAATTGCAAACCCGGCGCATTCTGATGCATCAAGGTAAATGCCTGATCACAGAACTCACAGAGCTCGCTCCCTTGAGAAATCTAACAAGAGAATCTTGCCCATGTTTCCTCGAAGTCGGTGTGGGGGCTGATGCCGTAGTTCCTGCTCAGAAAACACAACAGCGTGGACACTCCATGTGATCATTACAATAATCTGCTTGTTGCTGTGAGACATTCACAGAGGGTTGGTTAACTTAACGAGAGCCAGCTCGTAGGTCATGAAATTCAGCCAAGGATCGCTTCATGACGCTTCCTTGCCTCCTCCGAGCTCGTGGCTGCCGGGTAGTGCAGCAAGCGGATGGTGCCCATGTCGTGGCCTCGCATTGGAAGCTGTTGCCAATCTTTCCCGGTCGTGTGATCTCTTTGATACACTTTGGAGTTTGCTTTAGGGTTACCGCCAGCTCGATGACATCATTCCAGCGGATGCCCAATCTCAGAGTGCGGCCATCCCCTGAGAAACATGAAGAGAAGGTGTCCTGCACATTTCAGTGCTTGCTCCAAAATAAGCTTCCTATAATGCCGCATGACTCGGATCGAAGCTTCTCCAAGAATCACAAGATGCCCAGGCGGTGTCCCTTGGGAGCTCCAGCATCTCTGCAAAGGCCGTCATCAATGCTACGGCCAATCGATCTTGGCGTCCGTACAGATCCTGAGCACAGAAGAAACCATCAAGGCTTCTGAGTTTACCAACACCGGTAGCTCCAAAAGTATGTTTCACACGACAAACACAAGCCCAAACGACCAAACCTCTCATTCGAGGCCTCGTGCAAAGTACAGGGCTGGACTTGCGAAGTCCACTTGGGGCAGCAAACACCGCCTACTCCGCGCCCCTTCCTCACGACCTAGTACTGCAGCGTCCTGTGCTGTTCAGTTTTCGTTCCGACGATGCAGCTCAGGAGTCATCCAAGAAGTCGTGAAAGCCCAAGCCGGAAGAAGGGCAGTGTACCTGCCGAAAGCCACGAGACGAATAGTTTCAGGCCCGAGGATAGTGCTGGTCCACCTTGAGACCACTGACCAACAAGAGTTTGAAACGCCGGCCTGGGTTTCCTAAGACCGCAAGAGCATTAAGACCCTGTTGGAAGTCCGTTTCGAAAACTCTTCTTTTAGGGTGGTCGGACTGCATCGCAGGCATCATAACATCACAGCATCACAGCATAAATCGAGCTATCCCAGGTGGTGAGAGCGACCCCGAGAGCCGGAACAAAACTCAGTCGCCAAGACTAACTTGTGAGCATCGGGTGTGTGTGTGTGTGTGTCATGCAGATGGTTTGCAACTGTACAGCCTGTTATGGTTCTTAACACGCCTACAGTTGTACTTTACGCCCTTGCGCCTCCGGACGAAACTGGCCAGACGTAGGAAATCGCACGCGGCTGAAGTCCCAGGCACGTACAGTCGAAGCACTTCCTGCCTCGCATCAACAGATTGTAGCACTCACAGCTTTCATTGCAGGGCCTGTACCCTTCCTCTTGCATCTTCATGGCTATTCGACGACTATGAGATGACCACTGTTGTCAAATATGATCACCGATCACCGCTGTCATTGCGCGTGCTAGCATTGGGCTCATTAGGCTGTCGTTAGTGTGATCATCACCCTGTCATTGGTGTGTCACAACTGGCACTGATACCAGAGCTGTCGTGTTCATCACTAGGGCAGTCTTAACATCGGCATCATCACCACTATGAAGGCCATCGTTTTGACCGATGTTGATATTGCTATACTTGCTATCATCACTACCATATCGAATATGACTGTGATTAGAACCGTTGCCAAGCTTACCATCATCTGCTCATTTGCATTGGTACCGGTGTGTTACTGCTATCCTTCCAGCTTACTATCGTAGTGAGCACCACTGCGAGTCTACCATTATCATTGCGACATCATTATCGCCTATGTTCCTCGCCTCTCCTCAGTGACATCAGCGGTGGTAGAATCCAGCGCAATAGTTTAAAGTATCGAAGGCCTTACCATCAATGTGTCGCCGTTGTCACTGTTTACATTGAACTCATCATACACATGCGTCGTACACTGCTCTCTACTGCTGGCTGTGCATCACGTATGTATGTCATGACTGTTGGCCGCTATTGCTGCCGTTCTATTGTTCGGTTCATCCATACAGTTCGATCTATGTGGTCGAAACGCGCCTCGTAGGCGAGCTCTTCCACCCCAGCCTTTGCTTGGCTTGGTTTTCAAATTATAGTGTAAGTGTCCCAAATGCTCAAGTCTAAGTGACCCTTCACTCCCATTTGGGAAGATGAGAGGAGCCTTATCGGATCCGTGTTGCCTTCGAAAGCTGAAACGGAATTTCCACGGATGGTACTGGCAACTCGCGGCGTGCCACAGTAGTAGTACAACCGCAACCAGCAGAGACACCGAGCCGTGGTGACAAGTTCCCACACACACTGTACACTCCTCGACTTGCTGATGATCAACGGTCATGTGGAGCCTGCAGATGCCGACGGACTGAGAAACCAAAGTCAGGGAGGCAAGTGCGAAATCAATCCCTTGGGCATGAAGCACATTCGGGGACAAGCATGGGACTAAGTGATGCAACAGTGCGAACCACATCGTGCAACCTTGCAGCATCTGTGCCGGAGTATGTACCTTGCTTCGAAGGCTGTTGCTGACATCTACACCCTACGGCCCTACGGTGACTCTCTGCAGCCCGAACATGAACACGTCCCGGCGCCCCTGCATCTGCAAACGGCACACGATGCAAACAAGGTGACCATTGGGTCGAGCACATCGGCGCTTCTCGGCCACCGGAAGTTCATGGAGTTGCCGGGCAAATGCGTAGACCTCCAACTCCGCAGCGAACCGGTGTGACTGGAGCGGTGACTACTGCACCACGGACACAACTGCCTTCAACCAAAACACTGTCAAGACTGCCTTACAGTGGCCAAGACATAGCAGAGTCGCGCTCTCGATGTAGTGCTGAGGCAAGCAGTCCACGTTGCTGGCATAGAAGTACCCCTTCGTTGTGAGAGCATTCCGCATCCTGAGCATTGACCGTCGGGTGACATGCGGCGACGTGCCTTGAGTGTACTGACTTTTTCACATGTTGCTTTCCTCGTGGTGAAATTGCGTGCAGCTGCTTTGAGCGACGGTGATCGCGGCAAGTGCGGAACAAGCTGAACATGCAGCGGGGCAGCTGGGCCAATGCTGAGGTGCGTCCCGGATGGTTGGAGACCATGATCTGGCTCATGTCGACATGAGGGTGTGCGGCAGAACCTGAGGGCAGGTGTAGGGTCTGGAGGAATGCCACCTTTATGCTTGGAACCCGAGGTAGCATGCTTTGACTTCTCGCAAGCGATCACTTGAAACCCCGGCGAGGCCTGCGAAACGGAGGGAACGGCATCGCATGCCTGGTTGCGATGAACAGCACAGCTTCAACGTTGGGTTAGACATGACGCCATCATGCTCATCATCATGTTCATCGTCGTGACCATACCTTACCATCATCATCATCATCATAATCATCATCATCATTGTCATCTGTGTGGTCATCATCTTCTTCTTCGCCCTCCTCCGCAGCGAAGCACCAACCCTGCCATCGACCGTCGCAAACGTCCTACCAGCACGGAGCAGCGGTGGTAGCCCGGGGGGCGGTTGTAGCGGCAGCATTAGAAAAAGCAGCAGCAGCAGCAGCAGCAGCAGCAGCAGCAGCAGCAGCGGAAGCGGCAG